TAATGCAGCTTTGGATTATTTCAAATTCTCAGTACATAACAGATGCAAAGTTGGTTGTTTGCTTGTTTGTAATTAAGTGCACAGCTACATAATGGGCTATCTGTGCTCTGCCCACCATGGTTATCGAAACCCGATTTCTAGCATTGTAAGTCTGCAGACATACCGCTGTTCCATTGGGAGGCTTGATGCAAAGAAAAAAAAATTTCCAAAAACGATGGTTGGAACACAACCAACATTGCGCTTCTTCAGCACACCAAACTGGCTACTTTTCAGAGAGTTCACTGGTGGTGATTGTAAAGAGTCATGCTACAAACACAATATTCAAGATAGCAGTATGTGATAGTGGAGAGTCATGCTACAGAGACAATGACCAAGATAATTTTATGTGATTGTGAAAGGTCGTGCTATGGGCACAATGACTAGGATAATTTTATTTAATTGTGAAAGATCGTGTTATGGGCCCAATGACTATGATAATTTTATGTAATTATGAAGGGTCATGCTACAGACACGATGATCAAGATAAATGTATGTGGTTATGGAGGTCATACTACAGAGACAATATTAAAGATAACTAAATGGCTTAGAGTTCTTGTCTTTTTTGTAGTGACGTGTTTGCTTCAAGTATCCTATGTTACAACTTTACGTGTTTAGACCATTGAACACGATTAGATCAAGTGTGTCGTGCTCTTATATAAGCATATACAATTCTACCTGTGTACCAAATTATGTGCTTTTTTCACACAATAAAACGTTTATACACTATCATCTAGGGTTTCTAGGCTATTTTGAACTAGTATGATAGCTTTGAATCTTTTTGACATCCGAAGAACCTTCTAGGAAATAGATGTTCGGTATAGTTACCTAACTTGTAAGGTGACTGGACTTTTGTTTGGTATAACTTCATGCACACCGAGTTTCTAGTAACTCTGTTGACCGTAGATTTGTGATTAGATTACCAACTCGGAGGTGTGGTTCTTAGGCCCGAAAAATACTCATCAACCTCTTTATCACTTTACTTCTCAATCTTATCAATTGGTCATAACGTTGCTCAGATGAAGAAAATTTGTATGGACGAACTAAATATTTTAAACCTCATTAACATACCAAAAGTTTTTCATACACCTGTTTTGTGGAATGAGTTTATTGTTTCAGACATATAAATCTTGCATGAGATGCAGTTGTCGAATATACAAGACTGTTTAGTGTAAGAATTATTATTTAATTCATTTAGTGATCTAATATTTAATGATTATTTAGTTTTTATAGCAATAGTGTTAAAAGTTGATTATTTTGAAAGTGATAGTTACGACAAATTTCGTTACATAACTCGGTTAGAGTCGTACAGCGTGTGTGTAGTTCAGTTGTTGTAAATTGACATCACATTACTCGAACTTTCTGTATTTTTCTCATTGCCTTAAGTGAGTATTGTTACATCATAGTGTCTCGTAGTTTGTAGAAAGTTCTAGGCCTCAGTTGGGTAATGTATATATATATATATATATATATATAGGCGACCAAGTGAGTGCAAGTGAAGTTAAGTTAGTGAATGTGGAGTTAGACTATGTAATTGTTAGTTTAGCCATAACTGGCGTTATTTTAAAGTGCATTTCACAGTTTAACAGAAATAAGGAGAATAATTTGTCTTGTCAAAGGGTGTTCTAAAGTAATTGAACCCGTCTGTGTTTACTTAACTTAACGTAAGTGAAATTATCGCAGATTCCATAATAAGAAACAGAGCAAAGAGAAATAATTCGTCTTGTCAGTTGCATTCTATAGTAATTAAATCAGCCTGTGTGGACTTTTGACAAGAATAGATAATTATTTAGAGTTTCAGATACAACTGTGATAT